TGATTATAATTATAATTTAAAGTTCAAAGAACTAAATATGCCGAATCATCTGTATCTTTTAAATTCGGACTTGTATTGCCATTTTGATATATATGGGAGCTATATCCAAATCCGAATCGATCTCGATAAAATTTAGCAAAGGTATTTCCGAACTGTATTTGATATATTTCCCCAAATATTGTTGTTACAGAGTGCTAAAATAACAAATTGCATGAACAGTATATTTTGGAGCTATAGCTATATTGAACCGATTTCGATCAAATTAGGCATACTTATTTTCAGACCTAATTTGGTTGTATGTGCAAAATTCCATACTATTTGGGCAAATCGGATGAAGATATAAATGGCAGCTATATCAAAATTTTTACCGATTATCTCCAATTTCAATAGGGTTCGTCCTTGGGCCAAACAAATGATTTGTGCAAAATTTCATCTGGATCGGGTAATAAATGCGAACCTTACTTTGGTCACAAATATAAATGGACGGTCATGTATAAATCGACTCAGAATGTAATTCTATGCAAATCATCAAAAGAAACTTTGGGTCTATCTCGTTTTCTTTTGCCTGTTACAAACAAAAGTAGCTACGACTTTCGAATTTTTAGGAGACCCCATTATTTTTTAATGACTGTTTTTGATAAGTAATGTCAAAAAATAGTCGTCTGAGTATTTTAAGCAATGAGGGTCTTGGTGCCGTTTCTATGGCAAAGTCAAAAGAGGCCAAATCTAACATTGCTGGACTCTGCAGCGGATCAATAAAATTCATGTTCACATCAGGTCTTTGGTTGTAAATATTCCTGTGTGGGCGAAGCACCGCGAGGAATGGTCCGCTATATCCCAAAGCTATGATTATTCAATATTTTAACGCTTTGTGGGGAGGTACTATAAGGATTCACAACAGATCTTGTGTCGATATAAATATTAGAATGTGTGGAAACAGAAGACAATCGGATGCTTATTACTAATTTTTATACCCTACATCATATAGTGGTAAGGGTATTATGTCTTTGTGCATTCGTTTGTAACATGTAGAAGGAAGTGAGGATCTTTGAGGGACTACATGGAACTACTTTCTTAGCCGATTTATGTATGTCAGTCCGTCTGTCCGCCCGTCCGTCTGTTGATGTATTTTTGTGATATAAATGCAGGTCGCATTTATTATCCGATTGAAATGAAATTTTCACAAAAAATTTTTATCCGGCCCAAGGACGAACCTTATTTAAATTGATGAGAATCGGTTCAAATTTAGATATAGCTCCCATATTAATCTTTAACCGATTTAGGGCTAATTGTGCACCAAATGGCTAATATCAGACCAAATGGACTGAGTTTTGGCACTTCTGACGGAATTCAGACTAGAAACAAGCACATCAATTTTTTGAGAATCGGTTCCGATATAGCTATAGGTCCCATATATATTTCATACAATTTGGAGTTTTGAGATGAAAAAGTGCAACCAACTTAAGATTGCTTTCATTTCTAAGCCACTCGTCCGACAGCTGTTAAAATTATTCCAGTGACAGCTCATTATATTGGTTACAAGCGTACAAAAGCATTTTGGTGAGAATTTTCCAGAAAAAAGTTATTCGCGATGGAATTCAAGCATGTTAGTGTGATTTCTTTATATTTGGTTTAAAAACCACAAGTCTTTTGTGTCTCGTTACCGTGATAATGGCAGCGCAGCCCCACGTCAAGGAAGTGGATGGAAGAAAACAGCAATATCAGCAGAAATGCTTCAAAAAGTAAAGAAGCGACTTGATCGAAACCCACGTCGCAGTGGCCGAAAAATGGCTCGTGAGCTGAACATATCGCAATATTCCATTCGGCAAATTTTCGAAAATGAACTCGGGGTAAAACCATAGAAATTCCAAAAAGTGCAAAAACTTGCACCGCAACAAAAAGAAAATAGACTCAAAAGAGCTAAAGAGTTGCTTCGCTTGGCTGATTAGAAAACATTCGTTGTCCAGCAGTTTGTACACAAACAAAATTATCGTGTTTACTGGCCAAACAGGTCAGCTGAAAATGTGCACCTTCGGTTGGCCACCAGAACTCAAGCGCCGGCCATGAGAATGGTATGGGCCGCTATAACAGCCGATGGTCGCTCTCCGCTCGTATTAATCGACCGTGGCATCAGAATAAATGCTGAATATTATCGCGAAAATATTCTGGAGGGTTTATTAAAGCCTTGGGCACGAAAACATTTTGGACACAGACCTTGGACATTCCAACAGGGCTCAGCACCAAGAATGGTTACAAAATGAATTTCCTCGCTTCATTTCCAGCGCACAATGGCCACCAAAATCTCCGGATACCAATCCGTTGGACTATTGTGTCTGGAGTATTTTGAAAAGCAAAAGCAAGCAATTCGAATGAATCTAAACTAATTCTAAAATTTGATGCTATTTCCGACATTTTTTGCTTTCATTTAATAAAATTAAAAATGTAAAAATTATGACGTTTGACTCTATTGCAGTTTTTTTTATCTCACCCTGTATAGCTATGTTATTTGATCAATATTGATTGATCAATTCTTATTTTTCCATTAAATAATTTTTTCTAATAACATTTTCTATAAAATCTAATTGTTTTTCCAACACACTTTCAATACCATGACCTAATGCTGTTTACAATTGCACCTACTCTCACACACCCTCGCAAATTGTTTGATTGTAAAAATATTCATAGGCCATTTGAGTCTGCCAAAAAAATCTATACACAAAAAAAAAAAGAATAAACAATTGATTTATTATTTCATGTGTGGCAATTATTTTATTTTGTTCAATCAATCAAACTTATGCCCTCAATTTCATGCATTTCACACATTTTCCACTCACACCTTTCGGCTTCGACTTCAAATGAAATGCATATTTTGTTTGTTAAAGCAAAGAGAGAGATTTTCCTATCAATTTTCTCCTCCTCCCCCCATTTCCACCTGCCCCCTTAAATGTTTAATAAAATATTTACAAAGCTTGATATTTATTTTGGCCTTGTGATGGATGCATCAATGTTTGCACCTGACAGAGTTCAGCAGACGGGCGGTCTGACACAATCAGACAAATACGAACAACACACACAGAATTGTTTCAAAAATTCATTTGGAATTTTGCTATTTTCCAATTACCCCCTAAATGAATGATCCAAACAGCCAGCCAGCCAACCAACCAACTATTCCATACCATCTACAACAATAACAACAACATCAACAAAGGTAGGTAACCATAATAATAAGCAGCACAAAAGCAGCTTTTTGTAAATAGTTGAAGCGTTCCAAATTCGCATTTATTCAAATGAATGGATTTTTAATTTCACTGTGTGCATCTGGTCTTGCCTTCAAAAAGGGAATTCGTCTGCTTTGCTCAGCTCAGCTAGCTTTTGTTTGATACGTTTATCCTTTTTGCAATTGTTGTTTCCTGGTTTGCCAATTGCTGGGGGTGGAGGTTAAGTGTTTGATCCTCTTTGTTCAGTTTCCTTTTGATTTTTTGTTTATTGCAACATCTGCATTGGCATGATTTTTATTCGAATTTAATATCATCTTCATGGCATGGCCACCTGACCCGATAATGAAGATGGAAATGAAGTTGGACATAATATTAAATAAGCCAAAAGCTGTTAAGAATATTGCAAAGGAGTATTGTCAAGGATTATTTGCTCATGATTTTCTTCACGAAAAGGTAATGAATATTAATGGGGTTCAATTGATTAAATGGAAAATTTGCAATGTTGAAAGTGTTTGGAACTCTTTACATAATATAACTTCAACTAAAACTCAAATATCTTCGATTATTACAGTTGGGAGGTTGTAATGAATTCTTGGTCATTAGATAATATTTTATAGATCAGAGTGTTCTCCTTTTCTCGGTTTATCTTTCATGGATGGAACCCAACTGTCTTTTACGTTTGGGTTTTCAGCATAGAACATCCATCCTGTCAAATGTATAATAATGTTGTCTGCAGAGTCTTCCGAACGAATTGAAGTAGATTGATACAATTTTACTCAAATGTATATTATGTCTGCAGGGCTTCTGGTATTGAAAATGGGCCATGTAGATCCACGTTTTGGTATAGCCCCTATAAAATGGTACCTCCCGATATCCAGTATTTTGATGATTTTAGCGACATTATTCACCGGTATTGTTTCAAATTTGGTATTAGTTTAGTTTGAAATGGATACTACAGCCTAAGACAGAAAATTGTCTGTGCAGGTCCATGTCTTCGTATAGCCCCCATATAATAGTACCTCCCGATATTCGGTATTTGGATGATTTCAGCGACATTATTCACCGGAATTGTTTCAAATTTGGTATTAGAAGTCTGATATGGATACTACAGCCTGTGACAGAAAGATGCCTGTGCAGGTCCACGTCTTCGTATAACCCCCATATAACGGAACGGTACCTCCCGATATTCGGAACTTTGTTGATTTTAGCAACATTATTTACCGGAATTGTTTCAAATTAGGTATTTGTATGAATGCTACAGCCACGTCTTCGTATAGCCCCCCTCCCGATATTCGGTATTTTGATATTTTTAGCGACATTATTCACCGGAATTGTTTCAAATTTGATATTAGAAGTTTGATATGGATACTACAGCCTATGACAGAAAATTGTCTGTGCAGGTCCACGTATTCGTATATCCACCATATAACGATATTTCCCGATGTTCGGTATTCACCGGAATTGTTTAAAATTTGGTACTTGAAGTTCGTAATGGATACTACAGCCTAAGACAAAAAACTGTCTGTGCACGTCCACGTCTTCGTATAGTCCCCCATATAACGTTACCTCCCGATAATCGGTATTTTGCTGACTTTAGATACATTATTCACCGATTTTTTTATGTTTCTCATTTGAATATTGGAATGTCTTATCCCAAAAGTTACCTATGCAGGTCCATGTCGTCGTATAGACTCTAATATAACAGCTACATTCGGTATTTTTAAGATTTTAAGATTTTTTTTGATGCGAACATCAATTTAGAATTTTATTAAAATTATTTTTCTTACCGATCTGTTGCATATATGAATTTTCACGTTCCTTGAAAGCGGAATGGGCGATCTGCAAAGATAATATAAAGGAAAGACAATTTAGAATTTATTTGTTCATAAACAAACGCATTTGACAAGTTAAAAAAATATATATAAATATCTTTGGCTAAGAATGTGTTGTGGAACTTCAAAGGTCCTAAAATCGGCTGGTACCGCTATGTGGAGTTTATGTCAAATCGAGAACCGATATTAAGCATTTTTTCCTATGGTAAATATTCACCTCATTAAAAGAATATCGGTTACAAAATGAAACTAACTCGTTAGAAATTTGGTATTGAAACCTTTTAAATATCACGAGTCACAAGGTACCGGCGCAGGGGTCCTGTATTAAAAATATTCTGCAGGATAGGTTGTTTATATCTTGAAAACTTTAAACCACAATTTATATTAATTTGTTTAAAGAAGGATCTGAAATCTTTAAAAAGTGGAAATTCAACTACGTGCAAGTCAGATAAAAGGAGATTTAGCAAAAATGTTTGGTATGGTGAAATTATGCCTACTAGCATCCCTTAATAATAAAAAAATATAAATATTTCTATCAACATGAGGACATTTGAGAGGTATCATTAAATAGAGAGGTATCATTATACATAAATTTGGGCCGATGTAGAAAGTTTCAGTGGGTGCCAGGACACACCGCTATGGGGTGACAATTACATTGATGTTACGATAACTGAAATAGACGCCAGAGCTGGTGGTGAACCACCTCTGGATGGTTGTTTAAATGGCTCGAAAATAAATGAAGACGTACTCTGCCCTAACCAAATAATTATACACTCATATAAGCTGAATTACAGCTGCAGCGTTTTCTAGGCGGAGAATCTTGCAATAAAGAAGGCAGCCGGAATGGTAAGAGAACTGCGCAATAGCATGATAGGACTGTGACTATAAATGTTGATGGTCAAGCGGCCCCTATATCTATCAAGTCAAGTGCCATTAAATCGAGAGCCAATCTTGATATACCGATTGACACTATCGATAAGCTATTATGTCAGCTGTTTGAAAAGTCTCTCATCGAAACAGCTGGAAGTAGATGACACTTGGAAACCGGTTGCAGGGTACCTAAGCCCATCTGGCTGATAATCTCGAGAAGAAGACCAGGCTTCCTTCTATAACTTGGCGGATCTGATCTAAGAGTAGTTGCAGTCATATTAATTGGCCACTTCAGTATTAGATATCTGACCTCAAGATGGCATGACAGTGCTCCTGACTACTGTAGGCTATGTAAAAATGGAGAATAAGTAGATACGATTAATTATATGTCTCTCCCATCCTCAACAACTTTATTCTTCCTACGATAAACACAATGGACCAAATGTCTCCAAGTGAAGCAGATACCGACTCCCGTGTAGCTGCGCATTCGTACACCAAACTAACAGGTGAACATGTACTATCTATTAGTCCTATCTAAATACAACGACATGCCAAATTTAAACGATATCAGGCATTCCCTTTGCTCAATATGAAATTCTTATGTTTTTATACCCTCCACAATTCTATGGTGGTCATTACGTTCGTACCTCCTCGAAATACTTATGCCAGATCTAAAAAAGTATATATTCTTGATCAATGTAAAATTCTAAGTCTATGTAGCGATATCCGTTTGTCTAACCTTCTGTCTATTCGTCTGTCTGTTGTAATCACAATATCTTTTGAACGAATTGAGACAGAACGCTAAATTTTTGCACACATATATAAGTAGAGAGGTAGGCACGTTAACTTCGTAAATGAGCCATGTCGTTTCACGTTTTCGTATACCCCTCATATAACATTACCTCCCAATATTCGGTATTTTGATGATTTTAGCGACATTATTTATAGTATTTGAAGTTCGTAATGGGTTTGCCTATGGCAAAAAATTTCGTCTGCAGGTCCACGTCTTCGCATAGCCCCCATATAAATGTACCTCCCGATACTCAGTATTTTCATGATTTTTCCGACATTTTTCACCGGAATTGTAACAAAATTTCGTATTTAAAGTTCGTGATGTGTACTACACCCTATAACAACATGTTTCGTATGCAGGTTCACGTTTTCGGATATCCCTCATATAACGGTTTTCAATCTACACTACCACAATCTAAAACTACCACTTAGTTGTCGATTTATTTTTTTTTTTTTGAAAATTTTTAAGTTCCTCCCAAAAGGTGGAGGGTATTAAAAGTTCGGCCCGGCCGAACTTAGCACCTTTTTTACTTGTTTTTAAATTTATCAAGTTCCTTCCAAATGATTTGGGGTTTTAAAAATTCGGTAAGGCCGAGCTTATGCACTGTTTTACTCGTTTATTTTTGTTTTAAATTTGAAATTTTTGTTGGGAAGGTAACATATTTGGAGGATCAATATTGCTCATCTCCGAACTGAGTTTGGTAAAAATATTATGATGTACAAAGTTTGCGACAAATCGAATTTAAATTCAAGACCACGAAGATGATTTCGATTCGATGTGGACAATTTCATCAAAGGATGTGGTGCTGTAAGCGTGCTCGTGGTTGCTAATTGGCTGATATTATCCATCATTATTAGCGGATTTTTTGTTTGTTTATGAAATAATCATCGGATCAGTTATTTGAAAATATGAAATGCGAAATATATTACATCAAATCTGTCGTTATTGTTATGTAGCGATTCAACCAAAACCTAGACTATTTTGCAAGGAGGATTTTTTTGTATAAATTACCCCCAGTTTCAAGGCAAAGATCTACCACAAATGAGGAGGTGCCTTTATAGGGGGTCTGTAAAAACTATACCGTTCGTGGTTAAAATTTAAAAACTAATTAGTTTAAAATTTCTCAGAAACCTTAAATCAGACCCCAGCAGAGAGCCGCACATTTATGTTCTCCCAATTTTGTTACACTCTTATAACAGATCTTTAGCCTTATTAAAGGCACGCGTGCCTGCTTTTGTCTAGCCCTGTCTTAAATAATAGCTAAAATCAGTAAATGTCTTGGGAACGTAAGCCAAAATCACATTTGTTAATGACTTTTCGCAGATGACGTCTGAAGCTCATGTCGTTCGATCTTTATTATGTAGCAAAAATTCATATTCCAAATAAAGGGTTTTCGAACCATTTTTCGGCAATTGTAATTACTTAGAAATCAACCAACCCATTGTTCTTACAAGGGCATACAAAGTTAGGCTAGGTCGAAAGTTAAGAACTTTGTTTACTTGTTTTTTTTTAATCTAAAATATTTTTTGGATGCAACAATGTCCGGAATCTTAAAATTAAAAATTGTAAAATATACCAAATATTGTGTCGAATGTTTGTACTATTTCTATAAGGTAGAAAAAGAATCCTACATATTATTCTGAAATACTTTTTTATTACTATTTAACTGCATATTTATTTTGATATGCAAAAATACTCCAAAAAATTACTGTATTCCTATTCAAATAACTGTCCTACAAAAAAGAGAAACCAAGAAAAACTATAAATCTAAACATTAGCCCATTATTCCCATTGTTCTAGTGAATTTTCATCTGTTAACCAAAAATGTCCAATTTATGTGAAATATATATATTTTGTTGCTTTTCTTTCTTTCATTGTTTTTCTGAATCTATGTATCTTCATGTTGCTGTTTCACCAAGAAGTGGAATAAATTTCAACTTTAATAGAAAACTTCTCAAGAGGAAAGACCAAAAAAAAAAAAAAAAAAAAAAAAAATGTGGAATAAAAAATATGCTTACTTTGTAATTTATGTAAAAAAATACCAACTTGTCATAAATTTCTGGCAATAAATTTCTATTTGTTTTTATTTCATTCACAGAAGAAAAAAAAAACGGAGAATATAAAAATCATAGCGGATTTTTACTATTTTTTCCTGTGTTACATTCAAGGCAATCTTGCAACCACAAACAACAGTTGTGACCACAGAAGTGGGAGGCAGTGATGAAGCCTATTCCTGCTTCCCTTTCTCCAAAGCAGAGAAAAAGAAAACAAAATAAAAAAACAGAAAATAATATACAATGGAATTCCACATTACTAACAATTCTTAAATCTCAATCTTCAAAAATGTTTTTTATTCCCAGAAAATTTGTCATTGTTTGTTTATTTCTTTTGCTCGACTTGCTTTCTTTGCTTTGCCAGGGAGCACTCAAAATGGCATAAAAATCCTACAAATATTGTAACTGCATTCCAAAATGGGAACATTTACAGAAATTCCAACATTTCTTCATTCATAAGTTGCGGATAGTAATATTTATTGTGTAGAATAATATGAATTGTTTTTTTTTTTTTTTCTTAGCATAAAAAGTTATAATAATAAAAATTATGTTAAGCTTGTTATTTTGAAATTGTTGTTTACTTGAGAAATCTTTGCAGATTACTTACTTAGGTGTGATTACAGAAAAATGGAATTTAGATTAATTTTTGGGAAATTTTCAAAATTTAACAATACATTGATGTCTATTAGCTTATTTGAAAAAAAATTCTATATGAATATAAGACTGGTTGACATATTGTTGATAATTCAGACATGCGTTTTGCTTTTAAGTTTGTGGTTAATTGATTCATCGAAGTTTTGTTGGAAAAAAAGTTTTCAAATAAGAGGTTTTATTGTTTTGGCGTGATAGGGCGTTTATGAATAACCAACTCTCAAAGTGGCTACCCTAAATTCTCGATAGCCTCACATCTAATTTTTCACGTCGCCCAAAAAAGAAGAACTCCCAAGGTGTTAAATCACAAGAGCTCCGTGGCTATAAAAGGTCGATTACACATTATGTTAGAGTCATATGTAAAATTTGACTTTTTCATTTTTTATATTTTACATTTTTGTAGCATACTTTAAGGAGCTCCCAAAAATTTTTGAATTTAAAAGTAACGCTTTACTATATAATCTATATGTTATACATTACTATGAATAAACTTGTATAATATTCGTTCGTTCGTTTTCTACTAATAAACAAACTTTGTGTTTATAAAAATATCAATAGTGGGATTAATCCTGACCATTTTGCAAAAACAAACTTGTATAATATTATTATTATTTTTTTTAAAAAGGTCACTTTACATAT